GCATTTTTGCCCTCTAAATCCCTACCCAGAGAGCACATGGCCCCATGCTCACCCCTAAGCCTACTGGTCTCTGCCCTAAGTTATGTGGACTGACCATATCAGGTCTTCTTTCCTCTATTGCTAGCCTAATGACCTCAGTCAAGGTCTCGACTTCTTCAGCAGGCTCACTCCAACTCCACGGAGTAGGTTAACAAGTAGTAGGCCAAGTATGCCATTATGGAGTAGGCATTAAGTAAGGGCCATGACTAAAGGGAAAGTCATGTTAGTCTTGACCTGAAAGCTCAAAAAGAACTGAAGAAGCAACAAAGCAGCTTAAGAAGCAAGGCTACAAGTGAATACCCTTAACATTTGGAGCAAACCATGGACAGTTTCCATTTCCATATCTTTGGGTCTGGATAGCAGCTCAGGCTACCAGACCAGCTTGGTTGGCACTTTGGGATGTAGAGACCATAGCCTCCAAGGGGCCTCCTTCTTGCTTGTATCCAATGGCAGGAGTAGAACCACAATGTGATCACACCAACATCTCCGATAACCCAGCCCTGCCTGTCTCTGACTCAGTGTTGGTCCCTGCATAACAAGGGAGCCCCCCCCCCAAGATCATGTGCCCCATGTCCCTCTTTTCAAGTTTAATAAATATAAATCCATAGAGAGATCAAGTTCATTTAGCAGTCAACTCCCACAAATTCTTTTTGTTCATACACAGGGGCAAAATTATAAACCAGGACTCTAGAAGGTTAGGGTAATGCCATTTCATCACTTGAGACACTAAAAAGAGTGTATTGCTGAACAACGAAAGCATGAAATCCTTCACTATAGAACATACCCCATCTAAAGCACTGCAAAAACAATGCTTAGCTGTCACCATCTCTGTCCACATCAAGGGAGAATGCCCAGAGTGCTGTGGTTACTTAGAACTGAAGTTATTTCCTTGCATCTGTTTTATGAGCATTACTGTGTTACTCCTTACAAAAGTGCACAAGAAGTACTGATAATTAATTCTAAGGCATAAACCCAGCATGGTGGCACATGCCTTTAATCCCAGAGGCAGGTGGATCTACGAGTTTGAGGCAAGCTTAGTCTACAAAGCACGTTCCAGAACAGCCCGGGGTCCACAGAAAAAATGTCTTGAAAGACAGCCACCTCCTGATACACACAAAGATTCTGAGGTATAGCACCAAGATTCAGAAGCAGCCTAGCATTCCCTGAGTTATCCCTGGGAAACATCCCATTGCTGGCAGGGAGTGTGGAGGCTGTAGTAGAGTTGAAAGTTTGTGTCAATTTTAAGTGCTAGCCATGATTTAGACTGTCACAGGGACTGCAGAGTGGAAGATGGCAGAGGTCCACCCCCCCCCAATCAGCAGACAGTAAACATTGGCAAAGGGCAATCATGTACAAGCAGATACACAGAAGTAACACTGATGAAATTGCTACCCAGAAAACAGTATTTCTAACATCAAACTTAATCATAGAGGAAGCAGCATACCAATGAGGTGCTCCCTTTACAACACATTTTCCATCCCGGAATCAAAAATTCTCAACTATCCTATAGAAACCCCTTAGGGATTCTTCACATGGTTCAAATAGCATTTCCAAGGACTGTAGGTTACTCCCAACACACCCAGGGGGGAACCAGGGAATTGTGTCACTGTCAAAGACTGATTTGCCAAAGGAGTCCCTTGTAGGGCATGTGGCCACCTTTTTTTACAAAACAGTCTCTAACACTTGAAAATTATAAACTCCTTTCTTCATTTAACATACCTCTTTTTCTTTCACCCTTTTCCAATGTAGTTTGGAAAGTGACTTGAGAAGCAAGGGAGTGGTACACTACATGTAAGGTGACTCTAGGCCATCATTCTGACTAAATAAAGTGAGATGGACTCCCAACTATAACATAAACACCCCGTGTCAAAAGTCCTGTCTAAAACAATAGAAGGCAAAACAACTCAATAACAACTTTGTATGTAGACTGTGTGCTAAAAATGCATTTCAGGAATGGATAGAGAAAATGTGGTACATTTACACAATGGAGTACTACTCAGCGGAAAAAACAATGGAATCTTGAAATTCACAGGCACATGGATGGCACTAGAAGAAACCATCCTGAGTGAGGTAACCCAGTCACAAAAAGACAAACATGGTATGGACTCACTCAAATGGATTATTAGACATCAAGCAAAGGATTACCAGCCTACAACCCATAATGCCAGAGAAGCTAGGAAACAAGGAGGATCCTAAGAGAGACATACATGGTTCCCCCAGAGAAGGGGAAAGGGACAAGATCTCCTGAGCAAATTGGGAGCATGGGGGAGGAGAGAGGGAGTTAAGAGAAAGAGAAGGGGAGAAGAGGGGGGGTGAGGAGAATATGTGGGAGCAGGAAGATTGAGTTGAGGGAAAAATAGAGAAGAGATAATACCATAATAGATGGAGCCATTATAGGTTTAAAGAGAAATCTGGCCCTAGGGAAATGTCCAGAGATCTACAAGGATGACACCAACTAACAATCTAAGCAATAGTCAAGATGCTACCTTAAATGCCCTTCCCCAATAATGAGATTGATGACTACCTTATATGCCATCCTAAAGCCTTCATCCAGTAGCTGATAGAAGCAGAAGCAGATATCCCATAGCTAAACACTGAACTGAATTCCTGGAATCCAGTTGCAGAGAGGGAGGAGAGATGAGCAAAGGGGTCAAGACCAGGCTAGAGAAACCCACAGAAACAGCTGACCTGAACAAGGGGGAGCTCATGGACCCCAGACTGATATCTGGGAAAACAGCATAGGACCGACCCAGACCCCCTGATCGTGGGTGTCAGTCAGGAGGCCTGGGCAATCTATGGGGCCTCTGGCAGTGGATCAGTATCTATCCCTAGTATACAAATGGACTTTGGGAGCCCATTCCACATAGAGGGTTACTATCTGCCTGGACACACTGGGGAGGGTCCAGGCCCTGCTCCAAATGATATGACAGACTTTAAAGGTCCCCATGGAAGGCCTCACCCTCCCTGGGGAGCAGAAAGGGGATGGGATAGGGAGTTGGTGGGGGTTAGGGGAGGAGGAGAGGGAGAGGGAACTGGGATTGACATGTAAAAAAGCTTGTTTCTAATTTAAATAAAAATAGAAAAAATATAATAAAAATAAAAATAATTTTAAAAATTCATTTCAGAGATACCTAGTTAAATAAGATGTATTATTAGAATTAACATTTCCTGTTTCTTTTTCTTTTATTAGTGCTGGTAACTTTACATTACACCCATGGTGCATCCAAGCCTCATGCTCTCAGGTGTTATCCCACACCCACTGCTGAAGGCAAAGCCCTGGCTTCTCATCTACTATACCTGCTTATCACCACTGCTATTACTTCTTCTTCTAAATTATTACATGTGCTGAGTTGACATTTAATGGGCATATTTTACCTTTCAATATCCCCTGTATAAATATGAAAATGATTTTAAGCAAAAAAAATATTACTTAAGTCAATTTTCAATGGCAAATTCATAAAGAGGACATGAAAGCCATTTGGAACAGAAATTGTACTGTCTTCCTGCAACACAAGATACATGGACCAAGGTCATCTAATAGAATCAATTACCTTGTAAACAAACCAAGTGAGGTGAAGACCAATAGCCTTGTCTAAGATTAAAACTGTGTTTATTCACAGACCGTAATACCTGACTTGTGTTGATTTGCTTACAACCTAATGAATGATACAAACTTCCAAGAAAGTTCCTTGGAATATAACTCAACCGGGGCTTGTGGGCACCATATGAGAGGCCCAGTACTGTGCATGAAAGGAAGAATGAAAAGTACAGGGAAAAGGAAGGGAGGGAGGGAGAGAGGGCTGGAATGAGGGAGAGAGGGAGGGAGGGAGGAATGGAGGAAGGAAGGTTAAGTAAATTAATTAATTTGGGGGTTCAAGATATAGCTTGGTAGCAGACCATTCAAAAGGTTCTAGGTTCAGTCTCAAGTACTGCAGAGAGACAGAGACAGATAGACAGAGAGAAAGAATGACTATGGATATCATTTTGAAAGTAAAACATACATTAAGACAGAAATGCAAACAATTTCATTCCCCAACCCACTGAAGAGACACTGTTACTACCAGCAGGATAGAAGGAATCACTTCTATGTCTCTTCATTTTGTTTAATTTTTATGGTTAAGCCTTTCCTGTGGCATTTACATTTATTAAATTACAGATACAACTATATATATTTATATTCAATATACAACATGATATATATGTATGTATGTATGTATACACATATGAAAGGCTAAATATAGCTAATAACATATTATTTCCTAAAGGTTATCACCTTTGTGGTAAGAACATTAAAAACTCATTCTCAGCCTCTTTCAAGACCACTATTGCTAACTAGTGGTGGCTTTTGTCTATAAATTCTAGCACTTTAGAGGTAGAGGCAGGAGGACCAATGGTGCAAGGCTGGCCTTGACTACACAGCAAGTTCAAGGCCAACTTGGGCTACTTAGAGACCCCGTCTCAACATCCACCCCCACCAAAAAAGTCCTTACTATATTGTTAACTCCAGTTAGTGGTACTAAATAGATCTCTGAATGCATCACTCTGCCTGGCCTCTGTCTAGCTGAAGCTTTGAACCCTTTTCAGCAGGTGATTGTCCCACCAACAATCACTTTTCCCTGAGTGTGAACGAGAGGTGACATCAGCCTGTGAATGTTCTCTTATCTCTTCTTGCTCAGACATTTTGAATGTTCTGGGTGCTTTCTTTCTACAGGAAAATGTTGCATGAACAACACAGCGACTTTGGAAAATTACACACACCATAGCAGTTTGAACCTTTAAAATGCTGTAATTAAGAATTCAAAAAGTCATACTCGAAGAACTGTCCCAGAAAGTTTGCTTGAACGGCACTCCTGAGAGGGCGTTCCATGTGACCCTTGAGGAGCCAATACAGGGTCTTTGTGCCGACTGGCCAGTGTGCTCACTTCCCAGAGCCACAGAAGCCACTCCCCTGACTTACCCACCTTGTTATCCTCTAGGTTGATCATTTCCAGGAGGTCGTGGTTCTCCAAGCCCTGGAGGCTACTGATCCGATTGTAGGACAGATCCAGCTTCTGCAAGGCTTTCAGGTCCTCCAGACCTGTGATGGTCTCAATATTGTTGTGTCTCTAAAATGGATAAAACACAGTTTGTGTTTTAAAGCATTGTGCAAGCAGATGCATAGTGAAAAACCTTCATGTGTGGACACGGTCCCAAATTCTTTAAAAAACAAAACAGTAAGTTGTTCTTTCCCCATCCCCATTTCCATCTCCACCTATCTAAATGTCTACATAGACACCCAAGAAGAAAATCCTAGCTTTTTACCTGAAAGGTCAGGATACAGTGTTTTCATTAATATTTTAATATACTCATCTTCAGGTTGAACTTTCAAGTCAGTAGGAAAGTCAAACACTAAGTAATAGAAGCTTTTTGACAATGCATGCTACGATGTTAGTCCTTTGATTTTTCAAATTACTTCATTAATTTTTTGAGATTATAATATAATTATATCATTCCTCTCTTCCCTTTCCTTTGTCCCTCTGAACCCTCCCATAGGCCCCCCTCCTTGCTCTCTTGCAAATTCATGGCCTCTTTTTTTTCCCATTAAGTTTTACTACAAACACATTGCCTGAGAAGGGAATCTCAACAAAGGACCGGTGAGATGAGTTGGTCTCTGGTTATCCTTGAAATGAATTGTAATAATTGGGGTGGGTACCACCATTCTCTAGGCAGAGGATTCTGAAATGTCTAAGACTGAAGAATGGGAGTTGAACACTCGCCTCATGCTCTAATTCACTGCTCTCTGCTTCTGTGAGTTCTGTGAGTCCCTAAGACATGCTCTCTCCGGCTTCTGCTGCTGTGACTCCTTTGCTAGAATGGACTGTGAACCCCAGAACTGTGAGCTGAAGAGACCCCTTCCCACTTAAGTTGCTTTGGTCACAGTAGTTTGTCAATGCAATGGAAAAGACACTGAGACACACACCTGAAACCTAAACACCAGCACAGCTTCATGTTGCTCTCTAAAGTCATGACAGTAAACCAATACTGTAACTCCCGCATACACTTTGTTTCCAGACACATCCTGAAGTGACATCATCCTGCAAAGTCTGTGGGGATGGTTGAGTTGGCAGAGTCTGGTTACTTCTACATTTGTACAACCTCCTCTTTAACCTCAGGTAGCCTATAAAACCTCCCGTCACCAAGAGTATGACAGAAACGTGTCAATTCTAATTCTAAGATAGAAGATAACCAAGCCGCTTCTACTTTCAGGTCCTAGGAACTCTAGATACCATGTGAGAATTCCAGCCATTCTACTATGGACAAGTCATCTGGACAAGCAGAAATCACACGGGAAAGTACACTGAGAATAAATAGCAGACTGACAGACTGATACCTATGACTCAATACCCTGAGACTAATAGAAAATCTAGCCATCAAAGAATCCCAGATAAGCCAACCCCACCTGACCTATTAATATGCCAGCAAACCCATCAGAAGAAACAGCCCCCCAACCTAGTGCTGAGTACAGAACTGTTAGCTAACAACAACAGTTATTCCCTCAATGCCATCAGAACTGGATAGGTTACTATACAATGATAATCAAACTTACTTCTTCAATAATTCACATATCAGCATCTCTTGGACAATGAGAACAGGAAGAAGTTACCCATACTCAAATAACTGTCCTCTTTCTCAGACTCCACACACTCATGGCAATAGCAGTAATAATAATTTTCAGTTTTGAATTATTTCCTAACATACTCTGCATTCCTTGGCCCTTTTGCCTTAAGGACCAGGAAAATGTTATAGTGAATTTTAACCTTTGGTTTGAATCAAAATTATCATAAAGAATAAGTTCAAGTTTTCAGTTAATATTATATTTCACTTATCCTTATAACATTCAAAACTTTCAGGCCGGGTATGGTGATACAGGGGCAGGTAGACATCTGAAAGTTCAAGGCCAGCCTGGTCTACATAGTGAGTTCCACAACAGCCAGGACTACATAAAAGACCCTGTCTCAAAAAAAAAAAATTCAAAACTTTCAATATCGACTTAAGAACTGAAAATTTCAATTACTGTATTCCCTTTCATTGGAATATTTTCACTAGTAATGTTTATTGGCACATTGAATAGCAAGAAACTCATTTTCATCCTATTTTTCATAAAATTTCATTTCAATAATGAGCCAAATTTATGCTCACTGGTATAATTCTATAGCCCCTTAAAATATCATAATAGAATGTTAATAATCTTTAAAAGTATGTTATAGCCCATGAGAGCTTATTATACTATTCTTTTTACCTCTATATGTTTGAAAAATGTAATAAAAAAGGAAAAAAACTTATAACCTTATTTGTCAATGTAAAATCAAATTTTCCTGTTCAAAGTTCAAAAAAGTTAGGAAAAGTGAAAAGCAATAGGAAAGGGACCATGCTGTGCTCACCATCCTATCCATATCAATTTAATGTATTGAAATGAGGGCTCACTCTCCCATTCAAACACTGCCCACATATCAAATTTATATACAATACACTTTCCCCCAAAAGACTGTGAAGGACTTTCTATACGCAGGACAGATGTTATATTCTTCAGCGTCTCTGATGGCTTTCAAAGTGGTAGATGGTCTGAGCAGAGCAGGGCTTAGAAAAGTTTAATTAGCTAGCCTGTGGTTATAAAAGAGATCAGACTGAGAGAAGGTGAGAATCACCGAATCTCTGATTGAAAGCCAGTGAGGTAGGGCCTTTGTCCTGCACTGGGAACCCAAAGGCTTGCTCCTGAGTGTGGATATGAAGAAGTTTCAGCCCACACTTCCTCCAGGCCGACAGTGAATAGCAGAAAAACCAATTTTAGAAAGAAGTTGTTTGAAGTAAATTAAATCAGGAGACATTCCTCATCTACCAGTCTGTCAGGGGAAACTGAACTGGCCTTTACTCCAACAAGGTGAAGTTCAGGCTTCGCAGTGGTTTGTCACTGTGTTCTAAGGACAGAAGGGCCGGTTGCCAAGCCCGGAGGTTCCCTTGCCAGCTTTTATGTTTCCCACAAAAGATGAAAGCAAAGTATTAGGAAATGGTTCGTTCTTCTTACTATATTATAAACTGAATTCTTGTCAATAGCTGAATCAAATAAATGATTTTTCTGAATCCATGAATTAAAAATAAAGTCAATAAAAACTGCTGAAGCAAATGTGGATCATTTGGTTATAAATGCTATTTAAATTTGGAAAAGACAACTTTCCAATCACAGAATTTCAGTGAAAAATGAATCACAGTATTTTCTGTGTTTTCTGGCCCCATCTTGGGTGCTAGGCATAGGGAACAGAACAGCCTATTTCATTTATTGGCAGAAAAAAAAATAGCAAGAATGCTGCCAGTGAGGGTTATGTGACTAATGAAACACAGAATGAAAGTGAAATGTGCCATTTTTAATAATAATCGTCACTCCTTAAGCACAGAAATGTAAAATCTCAGGTGGACCCTGAATCCTTTCTCCGAATGCCAGTGGAAGGGCGGTCCTCCACCCTCTCTGAATTCCACAGAGGGCTAGTAGGGTCTTCAGAAAGTATTTTGAGCTTTAAGAGGAAGAAACACCATCACAGAGCAAACTTTAGTGGTTTGTGGCTAAAGAATTTGTACATGTGTGTAAAAAGTGTGCATAGCGGGCCGGAGAGACAACTCAGCAGTTGAGAGCATTGGCTGCTTTTCCAGGCTTGATTCCCAGTTCCCACAGGTGGCTCACAACTCTAACTCCAGTCCTAGGGGTTCCTATGACACCTTCTTGACTCCCTGGGCACGGGGTATGAAAGTCGTACATAAACATTCATGCAGGCAAAACACCCAAAGACATAAAATAAAAAATAATTTTTAAATTAAAATAATGCACACGCATGTCATTTAACAGCCACCTGTGAGAGAGACCTAAACATTAGTCAGATACAAGCCTCATTGAAATGCTCCCGGCCCACCCTCAGACGGGTGTAATAAAGGCCAAGAGAGCCATCAAAGGCTAGGGGGGAGGGGAAGTAAGGAAGAATCCTGTATACACACACAGCATTAGCACCCTCACACACACTAGTAACCTGTATTCTAATTTATAAATATCATGGGCATCCTTGGGACACTTGGGACCCTACTGACTTGTTAGCAAACAGTCTCGGTTTTGATTGGAGTTTTGGTCACTTGGCATGTCACTGGGCTTACAAAGGCACTTTCCTTGAGTGGTGGCAATCAGATGGAATCTTTCTGACTGAACTATGCATGTCTTCTCAGCATGACTTGGAGACTGGCATGCATTTGTATAGATGGGCTGCCTAGTGTGGCCCATTTTTGTGCACTAAAGTGCAGGCAGCTGTGAGCACGCTTCCTATGCCTCTCCAGTGAAATATATAATATTAAAAACTACCTGCTAAAATATACCTTCTTTCACAGACTAGGAGATCAACTCTCTACATTTTTTTAATTTGCACACCAAATTTGAAATTGGCTTGACTTGAACATGGACTATTGATATCACACACACACACACACACACACACACACACACACGTATACATACCAGACACTATAAGGAGCTGAGAAAAATTCTAGTGGTCATAATTCATATACTTCTTAAACAATAGGCAGTACTTCTACAAAAAATGGTATCTTATTGGACTCACCAAGCAAAGCACTTTGATGGGTAAGGTTCCTAAACCATTGATTGCTGTGATCTTGTTAGCAGCCAGACTCAGGTGGGTCAGGCAGACGCAATTCTCTATCCCACTGATGTCTTCTATCTCGTTGTCTGTATATGACAACTATGTTTAAGGAAAATGTTATTCAAAGTCTTTGGAAAGATTAAACACACACACACACACACACACACACACACACACACACACCAGTGTTGGGCCAGGGAAATGGCTGAGCAGGTAAAGGTACTTGCTGTCAATCCCTCGGTCCCATATGGTGGAAGGAGAGAATCAATTCCTAAAAAATGGTCCTCTGATCTTCACATAAAGACCTTGGTGAAACACACACACACACACACACACACACACACACATACACACACACACACACACTGGTAAATTTTTAAAAAATTAATAGGATAAATTCAAAACCTCTAACTGGCTTACACAACCAAACCTTCACTATCAGATTTTGCATTTGTAACATGGTGGATAACACCAAATTGGCATGAGGCTAGGAGTTAAGTCATGGGGAAAAATAAATAAATATTGGATGTGATACTGGAGCAATAATGGCACAAGATTATGGGAGTAACCAATTGTCTCTGCATTTGAGGTGCACTTCCCAGCAGGAGAGAATTCATGCCTGTACTCCACACTTCGTCAAAAACCCATGGCTGGGGAGGCCATGGGCCCCAGGGGAACTTTACTACTGTTGTTTAGCTAAAACGACATGGACCCAAACTTCCTTCAAAATATTTCCATTTATGCCCAGGAACGAATGCAAATGTCAAGTCTTAGTGAGAGCAGCTCCTCTTTGCCGTGGCTGATGGTGAACAGAGACTCACGGCTGCTCAAGGTGCTGAAAGTAAGTGATGGCTGAGTGAGGCAAAGGACAGTTCCACCATCCCTCTAACGCTGAGTAAGTGTCATGGAAGAAGGGGTGGAAAAAATAAGAGTTGGAAGATGGGGGAAGGGCTGCAAAATCGCCTGCAGGGCATGACACAGCCCTTAACAATCACATCTCACAATGGCTGTTTTAGCCTGCACAAGGAGGCTTCTTAAGGCTGGCCTTGTCAACAGTCAAGATGAAGAAGCCCTCCCCTTCTCTCTCAAACTACTGGCTACTGATAATTTTTTGGGGGGTTGGGTCACTATTTTCAGTGAGCTGTGTACTCACTGGTGAGTCACCAGGCTCCAGTGAATAGTTTTAAACCCCTGGCCTCACAGGTAGCCCTTCTTAAACTAAGTGAGTCACAAACAAAAAGTCAGGCATGTCAAAAAGGGACTTGGGAAGGGAGGGTACTGGCAGGAGTGGAACGGAAAAGAGAGAGGGTGGGGATGACAATAGCCAGAAAAACATTATATCCATGCATGAAATTGTCAAAGAACAGGGTTAATTGTTCTAAAAAGGGTGTGAATGAGCTGTTCTTCACACCTATAAGGCTCTCACTTCATCACTACATTACAATCACATTTGGCCAAGGAATCATAGCATGGAAACAGATGACTCAAGGCTGGGATTGAATCCAAAAAGAGCTGGATTAGGGAGAGAGATGGGTAAGAAAACCAGACAATGACATGCTGCCAAATGTCGCAGAAGTTTCTGAGTGTCTCTTACTGATTCCAGATTCCACCAATGGACAGAAACATAATTTTATGGTGGTCAATATGCCATTTCAAATCTCCTATGACTAAGGTCTCTGCCAAAACAACCGTACAAACGGACACTTAATCACAAACACTGTCTTTCAGATCCCATTTTCTCTGGGCTGGCTAAACAATGGTCTTGGAAATAGACAAAGGCCAGCTCTCTGTAGATATGGGCTATCATGAAAGGTGAACATGAAATATGGGAAATGAGAGATTAAATTATCTCACACAGCTGTGTATGAACTATCTTTGCGGCAAGCAATCTTTGGCAACAAGGATTAAGCCATGGAAACTTCAAATAGCCATCTGTTCGGTGTCAGACAGAACAAAGTGTTTAAGTCCTGCTTCACAAACAATAGTGTCCTGGAAGCTCTATTCCAACTAAGAGGAAGATGCTCCGAGTCACAGCACAGTGAACGGATGCAGTGGGCAGCTGCCAGACGCAGTCTCCTGGAAGCAGGTGAGGGCCAGGAGCTGTAATCAGAAATCCTAACAATCACAGGTTGTTTCTGAGACCCCAGAGGCTGCCTCAGCTCCCCTGGTGCCTCCAGCTTCCCCTCTACCTGTCACTACTATCCATTTGGGGAGGGGGGGGGGGGGGGGGGGGGGGGGAGAGAAACGGGGAGAAGCACAGTGCCTCACTGCAACCACAAGCCCAGGCTCCAGCAGATCCCACTGTGGTTGCTCAAGGCATTTCCTAAAGAGTAAGGAGTTCAACTAGCATCCCTGTGGAGAACGCTGTTCACGCCCTACCATCTCCTCCCACCTCCCAAGTCTCACTCCCCTTGACAGTGAAGGACTTTCAGGCACCGTAAGTTACTTAGGCTCATAAGTAAAGGATACACCTGCCTCGCCTCTGCACAGATCCCACACCCTTTCATTCAACCAACCAACCACACAATGAAAACACTCGATGCAAAGACCTACCTCTGTACAGAAGTCAGATAGACTTTTCCCCTGTCATTACTCCCCAACAACATGGTGTAACAACATTTGACATAGCCTCCATCTCATCATATACGAGAGATCCGAGCATCCATGGCTCGGGCATCTGAGGAGTACTGGAGCACACTTCCTAGGAATGACCTCAGTCTTTACATGGCCCTGCTTCTTACCCATCTTTTCCAGCAGTCTCATTATCTGCACTGCTGGTGCTGATCACAGTCAGTGCACGTGACCGTGCAGCGAGCAGCTCCAGGCCCCAGCTAGCCACACTTGCCCAGCCACAACGCCTCCATCCCTCTAATCTCCTGTCTTCTTACTTTAAGACTCGCTTTTCTGCCTTTCCTCCTCACACTATTATTTCACGTTCTGAGGTCTTGGGAGTTTCTGAGAAGAAGTACAATCTGATAAAGCACTAAACTATTTTGATGAATTAGCTTCCTGGATTAATCCTCTTAGGGGCATCATATTAAAAGAGGCCTATCAGGAGAAAGGCTCTGAGAACTCAAAATCTGCGCCTTGCTTTCCAGCTCTGAAGTTTGACCATTTTTGTGAATAAATCATTTAGAGTGGAATTTTAGACTGTTATGGAAACCGAGTGAAGGAACCCTGTGGCACTTAAGCATAACTTTACGGCTGGGGCCTAGGGAAGCCAACAATATATTTTTACATTCTGGCAATGCTGTCAGCAGGTCATAAACGCTTGGCGTGAATTATTCACTAGCTCGGCATTTGTTCTCGTTCATTTGTCTACAATCATAAAATACGGTTTGGGTGGACAGAAAACAGTCACTGAGAAGTCAGGCCAAAATCCATCAGGACTCTCTCAGAGGACAGTCCCAGTGCCGGCTTTAATCACAACCAATCCTGAGAGATCTCTATCACCTTAAAAAGTGGTCTCTGCCACAGAAGCAGGTCTCAGGGAGGAATGAAACATGTATATAGCTTAAATGACAGTGTTCTTAAAGTAGTAATCGCTTGGTGGATTGTCGAGTGGGCAAACCAAAATGATTCAGATAGTAACATCAGGCAGTGGCTTACCAGGTAGCTCCAACAAGGTGCTGAACACCCCCCCACCCCCGTCTCCAGTTCCTTTTCTATAAATACATAATTAACATTGGGTGGCCTCTAAAACCCTGAACCATGTTTTTAATTCATTAATGACCCATCAACCTTGAAAGGTAAAGAATAAACTACATCTTTACTCAATAATAAATAAATCTACTTAAAACCCTAAGTCTCTCACCTTGTAATTAGGATGATTATCAATTAAGCATCAATTATCTACATAAGGAAGGATGAAATAATCTAATATGATAAACTAAAAAAATTGATGCCTTATAGTTCACAATATAGTTCAAGATATTAATATATAATCTATTATAATCATTTTATATTACAAACATAATTGGTTTATTTTCAAATGATTCAAGTAAGAATTTCCACAGTTTGGGACTGGAGAGACGGCTTAGTGGTGAAAAACATGTACTACTCTTGCAGAGGACCTGAGTTTGGTTCCCAGCGCCCACATTAGGCAGCTCACAGCTGCCTGTAACTGTAACTCCATTTGGGAGGTGGATACAACACCCGCTTCTGGCCTCTGTGAACATTGCACACATGTGGTGCACATGCAGAAAAGCAAGCATGTGTGGACACACGCACACGCATGCACACGCATACACATACATTAAAAATAAAGGAAAGGAAATTCCATTTTTAATTCTTAGAACAAACCATTAAGCTTATACTTTCTTTTTAAAATATAAGGGAACTAGGGATTTGAGTCTGTTATAGAACTTAGCATGTATGAGACTCTGAGCTTCAGTTCTCACACACACACACACACACACACACACACACACACACACACCTCTCCTGTTCAATCTTTGTGTCTGCTTCTCAAAAATACTATACTGAATTGTCTCTTTCCCTTTAAACCTAGGTTATATTTGTTTTTTATTAAAGTTCCCCTCTGGGATTGAGAGATGGCTCATCCATTAGAATTGCTCTTGCAGAGGACCCAGGTTCAATTCCCAGCACTCACATGGAGGCTTACAAACAAACATCTATTTCTCTAGTTCCAGGAGATCTGATGCCCTCTTCTTACCTCCCCAGGCACCAGGCATGCATGAAGTGCACACACATACATACATACATACATATAGGCAAAAACATACACAAACATAAAATACAACCTAAAATCCTTAAATATCCATCTCTACTGCAACCCTTTGGTATACTTCAACCATTTTCACACCTCTATCATTTGCTAATACCTGACAATAGCATTATTTATTTACATCTTCTCTTATTGATGAGCAATTGGTGTGCTTCTATTTTTGCCATTACAGCCAACACCACAATAAACACTCCTCTGCAAGCTTCCGGGTACATGTGATTAACTGTAGAAGTCGGAAGTGTCGGAAGAGGTCATAGTGAGTGCTGACACCTTTATAGGAGAGCTGAAAGCTGTCTTCTCAAAGCGGCTGAGCCAATGTCATAAGCACAGACAGACAAGTTCCAAAGAGATCGTCTCGCTCTGTGTGCTTCCCAGCAGCTGGCACTTTTAGATTAGTGTGCTAAAATACTTTCGTAGAGCACATACTCAGAGAAAACTCTTTCTTTCTGGAATCCTGAGTTATATTGTGAAAGAGTAGCAAATTTGGGAGCTGGAAAGATGCCTAAAGGCACCTGCCTGGCATCAAGCCTGATGGCCTGAGTTGGATCCCTGAGACCCCTACGGTGGAACGAGTACCAAAAGTTGTCCTCAGACCTCCGTGTGGACACTGTCTTGTGTGCACCCACAAACAAGCATGCATACAAAATAAATTATAAAATGTAATAAAAAATTTTAAAGAGTGCTGAATTTCCTTATATTTTATATATCAATTGAGTTTCTTTAGGGGAGGAAAAGGCTTAATTTCCTAAATCTGTTAGTGTTAATTATATTTGTAAAGTTTCTAGTATTAAACTATTTGTAATTTTATTCCATTAATAGCTCAAGAAGAGCAGTGTGCTTTGGCTATTTGTCTCTGTAGTTTTCCAAACACAGGTGAAGATGCGATAATATATTCTATATGCCCACATTCTGAATTTCCATTACTCTGGGTATCACAATTACTTTCTTTATATGTCAGTGATAAGACTCAATTGCTACATCTAATGTACACATTCAACAAAGAAAATGTAATTCCTTTCTTTATGATATGACTACATTATTTGACATTCACAAAGTTCTAATATTTTACTTTTGTACATGGAAAGCTAAATTTATTTTTTAAAAAATTAAGACCCTCATGCTAGAAATGTTTTAAAGGGAATCCCTTATTATGAGTTTATAATATGTGAGAGTTGCATTCTTTGGGAATTCTGGGCTGCACACTTTAGTATCTTTCCAGAGCTCTGTCCTGTTCTCTGGGTACTGTGAGGGGCAGACGGGGCCTCTGCATGCTGAGCCCCTGACAGGCAGGGCTTTGGGGTATAGCCAGCTTCTTAGCTTTGACATCCACTCAAATTGTCTAGATACTTGGTTCAAATAGGTCCCTCTGGCAGCACTCTTCTACACGGCCAGAGATGAGTGATTTCCAAACCATGTGGCTTCTGAGTTCTCCCTCCCTTATGCCTCTCTCTCTCTCTCTCAACATTTATTGCACACAATGGTCAAGCATGAAGCCGTGGCTCTGTAGGAAGGTGCTGCATTTGTGTGTGCCTCTGACTTGCCATGGAAACATTTCGTTTAATTCATTATCGGATATCTCTGTTGGGCTACTCATGAGCACCATCTAACAGCTCGCTCACTGCTTCTTTTCATTAGTGAGTTTGAAAGGAAGTGGGTTGTGTTTGAGCGTTCCACAGGAGTAGAGACTTTCTCTGCACAGTCCATCTCCACGGTCACCACCTCTGCAATCTCAGACTTACTGCAAACAAGCTGCTGCCTCATCCCTGGAATGAGACACTCGGGACAATCAATTCATGCTCTGTCCTGCCCCCCCCCAAATTCTCAAGGGGAGAGAAAGATGCTTGTTGAGCAACAGAAGGCCCTGGTCTCCTATTGCCCAGAGAACATCAGTCTCTCTGGTGTAAAGAAGAGGTTCAAGCTCGTTAGATGCACAGATCTTCAGTTAACCTTTTAGGTTCCACAAGTTGAAGCCTGCATTCTGTTCTCATGGGAGCATGGTTCATTTATTGCATACATGTATGTTCCCGAAGGCACATCAAAAACTGGGGTTCTCTTTTATTTTTAGTTAAATACGTTTTAGCTAGAGATAGAGGTCTGTGGAAGAGCACTTACCAAGAATATATAAGATCTCAGGTTTGATCCCCCAAAAAATAAATAAATAAATAACATACTAGAATGCCTTGCTTTACTTAAAGGCAGCAGTATGAACTCCTCAGGAAAATAACTATTAGTTTTTGTCATGACAAATATACATTTTCAGACTCTGAATTTGTATAAAATAAGGCAAAAGTTTAAGTAAATTTGAAGACACATGCTCATTTAACATAACTTCCCTAATTCTAGAATCAAGAACTAGCTTAACGTTCATGTCATGGACAGCCCTCCGCTTGCTGGGGTGAGAAGCCCGTGGCAAGCTTTGGCTATGGAACTGGTCCTTGGTAAACAAACATCCTTCCTCATTTTATGACTATTGATTCTTATTCGGTTACATGAGCCACACACTTTAGGGAAATCACTTATGTGATGCCACTCTGTGTAGTCTGCAACACCCTCTCCAACGGCTCCAGTCACCATGGCCTCCCCTTCACGCATTCAAAGGATACTGTCCAAAATTAGCTGAGTGAGAGTGTGGTACGCTGACAGGTCACCCATTTCAGAAATTTCGTTGTGGGAAAAATCCACCTTCTGGTGACAAAAAGAGAACAGAATATTCCACATTTCTTTCTTTCAGGCTCACTAATGTTTAGTAGCAAAAGAAACAAGAGAATGCGCTTCTGCGGGTAGACTTACAATTGATTGCTGTAGATGCATTAGAGCTAAATCAGCTCCCTCTCTCTCTCTCTCTCTCTCTCTCTCTCTCTCTCTCTCTCTCTCTCTCTCACTCTCTGCCTTGTCTAACCAGGACACTATTGCCACCACCTCGAGAGAGAACTGAGAAGTCTTCTTTGTGGCCCACAAGGATGGATCTTCCCTTTCCATTCCATCCCTTTCCCTCCAGGGTCTCACACTGACCTGAAATTTTTGTAGAGCAGACTGGCCTCAAACCTGCAGAGATCTGCCTGCCTCTGCCTCTCAAGTGCTGGGATTAAAGGTGTGTGCCATACACCCCACCTACTCTTGAGTTTTCAGCTCTTATTTTAAATTTCCTAGGTTGTCCTTCTGGATTTACTTCAGTTTCATCCATATCACCATGTTTCCCATTTTTTCCAATACCCAACAGACCACATTCGCTTCACTTGTGCGCACATCTCATTTTTCTGTTCTACAGATAGTGGCACATGTTGCCAGAACAGTCCTTATTTATCCCTCAGGCTTCAGAGCTTCATCTGTATATGCCTTAGTTAGGGTTCTCTGTTGCTGTGAAGAGACACCATGACCACTGCAACTCTTATAAAGAAAACATCCAATTGATGGTGGCTGGCTTGCCTTTTTAGGGGTTCCGTCCATTATCATCACAATGGGGAGTATGGCAGTGTGCTGGAGCTGAGAGTGCTACACCTTGCTGGCAACAGGAAGTCGACTGAGACATTAAGCATTATCCTGAGCATAGGAAACTTCAATGCCTGCCCCCACAGTGACATACTTCCTCCAACAAGGCCACACCTCCTAACAGTGCCCATGAGATTATGGGGGCCAAGAACCTTCAAACCACCACAACGTACTTTCTCAAAACTGACTCATTTAGATAGACATTTTCAGCAACATCCATTGACCCTAGTCTAGAATGATACTAAAAACAGACTAACTAATTAAATAAAGAGCTTTGCTTAATTCATCTACTGGAACAAAATATTTAAAAAAAAAAAAAGGCAAGAAAACCCAAGATTTTTGAAGCACTGTATTGAGCACTCAATGAGGAAGCTGCAATCTCATTCCAGAAGGTTGTCCAGAAGATACTGAATAGACACTGTCCCTCTTGTACCCTTTAAAACCATCCATGGGGTGTGGGGGCAAGAGCAACTGGCTTGCAGCTAGCTGTATTGCATTAAATAAGATGATGCACTAAAACCACCAGAGGGCCTTGGCCTTCCCTCTCAGAGTGCACAGGCTCCTGAGGGGCCAAAAGACCTCATCAAGGCAGTCTGGAACATGGCAAGTGCTTCTTTGAAAGATTGGAATGAATTCACCAGAAGTTAGACCCCTGGAGATGGAGTACATGGTTGTTTTGTTGGTTTGTGAGGCCTTCTGGGGAGTGGGAAGGAGTAACGAGAAGAAACTCCCAGAAGTAGTTCTGAGGGAGCATCACACTGTTCCTTTGATGGGTTTCCCTGGGATGCAAAGCAAACTGGGCAGCAGAGGAGACCCAAACAACTCTACAAAGGCAGTTCTTGATAAGCTTACGACCGAACAGCCCCCTACTGGGTACCGATGGGCGTCTAAGGCAGCCTACCTGGGCAAAAGAATATAATATCGCCCAGGTATAACTGAAAGATGGACTGGGGGGATGGGGGGGCAGTGTGTGTGTGACTTATCAAAGCAAATGACAAGGAACTACAGAAGAGACCAAGGCGTTTCAAATCCAGTATCAAGAATGCCACGGTCTTGATTTCAAGTAGAGTTTCAATTTGGTTCAAGCCTAAGCTGAAGAATTTGAATCTAACTTAAGTTTTAGACAAAATAAATAGATAATAAAAGGTGAGAGTTCTTCTTTCATTCCTTAAAATAACCTTTTTTGTTAAATATTTGTGTCCCACCGGTGGAAGCTTATCCCATGTTCTGGGGCAATGGTTCTCAAACTTGTTAGACTCTTAGGGTCATCTAGGACTTAACAAGTCCAAAGCCCAGGCCTTCCCTTGAGCCACTTAAATCAGAATCTCTGGCAGTGGGGTCCAGACCATAATAAGTCTTCAAGTCCCCCTAAGTGATTCCAGAGGAGAAGAGTCTAGGAGCCAGCACTCCTGTGGTGTCTCACAGCACAACCGGCTGCCTCCATAGCCACCCAGAGCAGAGTGCACAATCTTGGGCATGCCTCTGCCAAACTGACATCGGAGAATCTCCACAGGTGGCCTGGGTGCCCCTGGGAGCAGGAGAAATGTCACTCTACATATCGAGCTGCTCCACGGTGCACATGTGTCTCATTCCTGCTTTCAAAGCGCAAGCTCAAAAACAAGTGCAGGAAGCAAGCGTGGAGGTATAGAATTGGGTAGAGGCGGTGTATGCTTCCCTCTAGGCTACTGGGCAGGTGTTCACCACTGTTAACCTCTGTTAAAAGTCATATTCCTGTCAATCATAAGATCTTTCTTTAAATTCTCATTTTAAGCATTCCTTCTGGGGGGGGTGTTGTTTTCCTATAAATAAGAAAAGATGTAGGGGATAAGACAATCTGACCCCCTAATGGCAGCTGTTAGACTCTCCACTGATACCCTGGCCACCTTGAGCAAAATAAATGTGAGGCATCTGGCCAGCCTCCCACCCTTACACCTTTACATCAGCACCAGCCACTTTGAGCATCCCATAGAAGCCTCGAAACAACTACCTACCAGTCACAACTGGATGCACTAGTTCCTGAAGGGGCAGCCTCAGCCAGGGCTGTTTGACTTTTGTTGTTGTTGTTGTTTTGTTTTGTTTCGTCACAAAGTCTCTGTGAACTCTAGATGGTCTTACAACCATCCAGGAAGGTGCATGGGGCCCCACTTCCCTGATGACCCTGATGACCCAGCTGATGGGGAAATAAAGAAGCTGTCCATTGGTGCAAACACAAACCTTCACTTACATGCAAGATGAGCTGTGATTGGCCCAACACCCCTTCTCTGGTTATGTAAGGTTCTCAGGTTCCAGGGGTAAGGAGACCTTTCCCTCGGCCCTTGCCATTGTTTTTACAGCCGCAGGCCCCAGAAAAGGCTTCTCTGGGGCGGTTTTTGTTTTCGTCTACTGTAGTAGTGTGGGGTGAGCCGATGACATGAAGAAAACATGCAAACAGTGGAGCAGAGTGGCAGTGACAGCAGAAGCGTCAAAGTGACAGCAGTTACAACAGCTGTGGGGCTAACCAGCCAAGTTATAAAAGGTGGCAAGGCAGCTGGCTTCTCTGTAGCTGAAGAGGCAGCTGGGCAGTCCAAGAGGGTGGCAGGAGCAGGGATGGGGTGACAGAGAAACTAGAGAAGACAGCGCACTGAGGCTGAAGGAGGCTGAAGAACCAGAGAGTGGAGACCGGCCACTGTCACTGAAAAGTTCCAGAGAGCTGCTGAGTCCTTAGGGTCCAGAGTCAGGTACTGAAGGCCCTGGAACTCTATCTAACACTTGTCACTGTCAAAGGCTGGAAGGAATCCTGCTATCCGGATTCTGAACACTGCCAGCTACTGCCAAAGGCTGTGGAGGTCTGACTTCCCAAGCTACACAGGAGCCTATGCGGTGTCAGATACACAAGACTCGCAGGAGCTCAACAGCAGAGGGTGGGTGTGACCTGCGACCTGCTCCCACCTGTGTCAAGCTGCTGGCCGCTGGCTACTGGCTGCTGGCAAACACTGAAGGGAACAAAAGCTGCCAGACACCAGCACTGAAAGAGCCTGCATTGCTGACCCACAATTACTATCTGGGCAGGGCTAGTTCATTAGTAATAAAAGTATTATTTTCTTAAAAAGCAAGGGTTGGATAAGGAAGAGGACAACGTTTGCCCCGAGGAAATGCTTTACCACTATTTCACATACAAGTGCGCTGCTGTAGCAGAAGAGACGCAATAGCCACTACTTCTTCAATAAGGGCAAAGGAGCAAAGGGCAAGGGGCCAAGGAGTGTGGCAGCACACGGCTGGACTCCCAGCACTCAGAAGGCTGAGGCGGGAAGGGCGGGAGTTTGAGGCCAGCCTGAGCTGCACGGAAAGACCTACCTCCTGAAACCAAAGAGATAATAGTCAATGAAAATCTTCTCTTTAACCTAAGACAATGAAATAAAATATGGCCAAGAGGACTGAAGGAAGCAGGTTCTTTGAATGTGAGGTTTCAGCAAAGATCTCCCAAGGACTGTGCAGTGGTGGAGCATCTCAGTGACACACCTGTCTGCATTTCAGCTGAAACACCTGCACTGTAAGTTTTACACCTTAGGCCCTCGGACTTCTCTCCATTAATTCTCTCTTGCTTGTATAAGCACCGTGGCAACCACTTACCGTATGTGTGATTAGTATATTGGCAAGTATACCTGGAGATTCTTGGGTGGCTTGAAATTGAAAAAGGTAGTCAGCTTGTTCTGGGAAGCATTTAGTTCTAGAAGATACGGCATGTGGCTCACACAAGACAAGTCTGGGGACAGAAAAGGTAAATCAACAAGCCACTAGAAAAAGTCACGAAGTACATTACAGCAGAACACATTTTTTTTCCCCAGACAGGATCACACTGTACAGCCCTGGTTGGCCTGGAACTCACTTTGTAGACCAGGCCAGCCTAGAACTTAGAGAGATTCACCTGCATCTGCTTCCCAAGTGCTGGGATTAAAGGCCCTACCACACCTGGCCCATATCAGAATAACTTTTAAGTATGCCCATTGCAAGTGTATCTCAAATATTTCAGCTGAGTCAAATTAATAAAAATTAGTGATGTGTGAAATATTTTTAAAGTGTAGAACAGAGGAGATCAGGATGGAGGAGGAGGTGGGGGTGAGGAGGGAGAGAAGAACCCCAAAACACATTTGGTTCTAATAAGTCATAACAGTACCCAGCACATTATAAGGTGACTTGAAAAATCATTTTAGAAATGTGTAAGACTCTCTATGAGCCAATAATTTTTCTTTCTTCCCCAGGGCCCACCCACTTCTTCCAGCTCCTGTATTTCTGGGACGTCTGAGTAACCTGTGGCTGAGGACTCCCGCAGGTTCCCACTCATCTCCTCACAATGTGATCATCCTTAAGGGCTTCAAAATATCACCAGCCTTACAGGGAAGGACGCAAAGCTAAAGCCTTAGACACTCCTCTTGGTGATTAGCTCCTAGATAACTGAATTGGGTCTTTTCAGAAGACTGAAAATACCACAATTAGTGGACTCCGTTGCTAATTCAATTTTGTTTTAGTTGGACTTAATCCTAAATCTCATTAATTATCTGAGGTGATTTAGATCCATGACTTGTAACTGTGCTTTGACTTTGGATTGGCTCGAAACTACATCTGAGTTCTGTATTTTATCCCAAGCAGATATCCCTGAACTTGGTGCTAAGTAAAACACTGCACAAATGGAGCCCATGCATGGAGTCCCACATTAACTGTGGTCGTGACGTAGCGTTTGCCATTGTCCCTCTGTCTTCACAGCAGACACACACTGGGCATCAGAATGAAAGAATCCACATAGTAGGGGGGTCTAACCTTGTTGGTGTGGGTGATTCATTTCATCACCTGTAAGTGGTTGGTGGTAGCACCCCCTTTTCTCTCTCATTCTGGAGGGCACAGAGAACCAGGACAGTGATGCCAATGATGGGCCAAGCCAAGCGGCATAGACACATGCAGAGTGGGAGGGGAGGGTGTGGCACACCGGCTGTGTCTTGGGCAGCACTGGCAGGCACTGTGAGATGGCTCTGCCATCTTGCATTTTGCGATGGTTTGAATGGAAGAGAAAGTCCCTGTAGTCTTGGGCATTTGAATGCTTGGTCCCCAGCTGGTGGCGATGTTTGGGCAGGCTTAGGAGGTGTGGCTTGCTGCAGGAAGTATGTCACTGGGGGCAGGCTTTGAGGTTTTAAAAGCCACACATTATTGCCTCTTCACTCTGCCTCCCATTTGGGGTTGGAGATGTGAGCCCTCCAATCTCAGCTTCCAGCTATGGTCACCATGTCTGCTGCCTGCTGCTGTACTGTCATCATTATGGACTCATCCTCTGGAACTAGAAGCCCAAATAAACTCTTTCTTCTATATTGCCTTGGTCATAGGATTTTATCACAGAAACAGAAAAGTAATTAGTATGCCAGATCCAGGCGCTCTGAAGGTCTCTTGTTTAAATAGTAGCTTAGTTGTGAACACCTCTGGAAGAGGTGATGCATTGGGATAGCAATGTTTTGGTAGAAATCAATGGGAAACCTATGGGGACGTCAGATGGTTAGCAGCCTATGCCTATCAGCCTGCATCTGCCTATTCTGCGCTCAGCTGCCCGTCTATTAGAAGTGGTCTCAATTCTATTCATCTCCACCGAGTCCCTGAACTCCTGCCGGGGTCCATCTTTAATGCCAGTTGCATGGATATCTATTTTAAAGTAGAAGCATCAGCTAATATTTAGACAGATTCAATAAGATGGCAACTACATCTCATACTCTGTACATAGCCCTAAGGTTTTAAAAATCACTGTGACACAGACAGTCCCTGAGTTGCTAACTTCCATGTAGTTCCTCCTTGGTGTGGTAACCTCTTTGTCCACCAGATGGCAGAAGCACCTTATGTCTACACCAAAGATTCTGGACCAGCAGCATCAGCCTTACTTACTCTTGCTTACTGCAAATGTAAATTCTCAACCCTTACCCCAGTTCTACTGAGTCAGAAACTCTGAGGGTGAGATTCAGCAATCTGTGTGCAAACAGCCCCCACTACACACAGTGATTCTATTGAAAGTTGAAATGTGGCAGCTACCTCAGGACACCCATAAGGCTGACATCCCCCAAAGAAAAACATATTGTCATACCAACACACATCAGACTCGAAGACTCCTGATGAATTAATGAGGAGGGTCATAAAGAACCCAGGAGGAGGGGTCTGGCCTAGAGAGGACTTTCTGCACAGAGAGTGCCTTGAGTGGCAGGCTATGAAGCTAAGTCTCTGCTGGCTGCTGCCACTGAGCGTCGTCAGAGCCTCCCATGAGACTGAAATTTCTTATTCAGTGAGAGTGAAAAATCAATCTCAGAGCTGTGGGGTGGGCAGAGCACACTCAACCTTGTAGGTGTGGGGTGGGCAGAGCACTCCTGCCAGTGCCGGCTTAAACGCCTTCCTGGTGACTGGGTCATCACATGATCTGAGGTTTGCTTTAAAGTAACTTAGAGGAAGAGGGATGGAGTAGGGGTGCTGATAGAACAAGACTGACCCCTCCTATTACTCCTGAGCCTCAGTATTCATTCCAGAATTTTCTCTGCTCATGTTTGCAATTTTCTAAAATGAGTTTATAAAAAAATAGGAAAAAATAATGTCACGGTCTCTCCAACAGCAGTATTTGGAATAGGATACAAGGCTTGCCTTGAGGCAAGGGGTAGACTTTAATTGTTAGTCAGATGAGGGAAATTGGAAAAGGAAATTGAGAGACAATGCCAATCAGTGGCATTGAGGTCCTCTTGAAGGCAGGTAAAAGGAGCAAGCAGAAAGATACTCCGTAGAGAAAACAGACCAGAAGTAAGTGTCTCTAGAGTCTAAAGAAAAATATGTATAGTTTTAATATCAAATAAGATCAGAAAATCCCAAACAAAGACCAGACTTTAAAGAAAATAAGACAGTTGCAGGATATGTTCGTTAAGTGTGAAGAAGGAAGGTATCATAACAAGTACAAAGAATTTCAGATGGTGTAGTCAAAAGAATCAACTAAACACACAGAGATGGGGACCAGGGTCGACACCATGAAGCCCTGATGCTTAAACAATAATAGAAGAAGCCAGCCAGGATGAAAGTGTTAGTATAAAAACAACAGAAGCCGGGCATTGGTGGCGCAGGCCTTTAATCCCAGCACTCGGGAGGCAGAGGCAGGCGATCTCTGTGGGTTCAAGGCCAGCCTGGTCTCCAGAGTGAATGCCAGGATAGGCTCCAAATTCATTTGAGCTAAATAACTAGCTGAAGAAAAGGGTATCATCAAACATTCTGCAAGTACCGAAGGGATAACAATCCCAGTGGGGCTCCCTGGGTGCACCCCAACTGGGCCAAAACGCTGAAGATCTACCTGTCTTCTCTTCATTTGTGGCTTGTTGCCCCCCCTCTTGTTCTATCTCTCTCTTTCTCCACAGAAAGCAATAAGTCAATATGCAGCTGTACCTACAAATCACTTATATCAAGCTCAGTATTATTAAACCACATTAAATTCTGTAGCCTGTACATTTTTGCACCATTTCAGTGATCAATCCACTCAGCTGACAATCACATACCTTCGATTTTGTTTGCAGAAAGATTCAGCTTCTGCAGGTGAATGTAGTCACACAGGACGCTGACGTCAACTAACTCACAGTTCTGGCAGGGAGAAAGGGGGAGACTTTAATATGGCATTTACAGTGTTCGTGTGAGCCTTCCTGTGACAACTGGAAACAATGCTGATGGAAAGAAAGCCAGAGTTTCTTTCCAAAGTGTAGAAGCAAGAGAATAAAATCTAAGGTCTGCTACTAACAGGATCTCAAAATGGACTACAGAGCAAAAAGGAGGAGGAGGAAGAAGAAAGGAAGGAAGGAAGAGGAGGAGAAGGGAGAAGAAGAGAAGAAGAAGAAGAAGAAGAAGAAGAAGAAGAAGAAGAAGAAGAAGAAGAAGAAGAAGAAGAAGAAGAAAGTATTCCTTCAGAAGAAATACTAATCAATCAAGGCAGAGACAAGTGAACAGTCGATGAATCTGAGACTGACCAGGGCTACACAGTAAGACCCTGTCTCAAAAAGAAGAAGGAAATTATTAGCCTAAGAAATTAGTGTTAGCAGCAAGAACGCACCACATGGAAAGGTAAACAATAGCAGTGTTCACTAGAGCCTTTAGAACCGTCTAAAATAAAATTTACAGCAATGAAGACCAGGTTTTCATCCAACCAAATAAAAGCCAGTGCTGGGAGTTTAAATGAAGTTTTAGGAAGATGTCGTAGGTCACCAGGAGATCGTTAACAACACAGACTGCAAAGCTGTTGTTACTCAGTGATCCCAACAGATCCAACAGCTGCAGGGCAGACAGGGGAAAAACAGAGAGATATATGGCCAAACCTGAAGTCACAGAGCAGCTTGGGAGCTGCGGTCTCCAACTCTGCTGAGGCTCTGTCCAAAATTCATGCCAGAAAATGGTACTCGAAGGAGGGAATTTGATCCCATGGGATAAAGACTTCTACTAGTGGCATATGTCATTCTGTCACAGGCAGTAAACAAAGCCAAAGATGACTAATGAAGAGTCATTTGACAGCAAGTTCTCATGTAGGGCAGTGATGGCTGTTTAATGTGGGCTGTCGCAGGAAACAAATCAGCATTCGGTCCCTACTGTGTGCATCACTGTGCTTGATGAGAAAATAGGGGAGAGGGGCGGAGCTTTACTTTGCCTTTAAGAATTTAGGACTTTGGCAGGGGAGAAGATATATGCACAAGTAATTAGAAAAAGTAAAATAAATAATAATAATAACTACTATTATTATTATGTATAGCATAAGTAAGATATGAGGGAGAAACTCAGTGAACCAGAAAGTGCATTTGGTGAGACAGTTTATTGAGGCCAAGTAATTCAGCACATAATATTTCAACAGTAAGGAGGTCGGTGGCAAAATAAGTTAAGATCCATCCCTCTGGCTGAAATAAGATTTAAAGGATTGCTTTCTTGGCAGATCAATTTAAGACACGGCACTACATACATAAGAAGACGACTGGTTGAAATGGACCTTCGTGTGGCTGTCCTGGCTGCTAGAATTACACCATCTCAATGTCTTACACGGTGCTGTGTGTACAGGGTACTCCACTTGTCACACCTGGGTGCCTAGGACAACCCCAGAAGGTTAGACACTACCAGGGATAGAAAAGCTTGGCCGTGGTATGCTGACCCTGAAGGACAAACCATGAAGTCAGCATGGGGACAACACCTCATTATTAGTCCTTGGGTATTTTACTAGTTCAAATCCAAGGCAGAACACCCTTGCAATGCGTTAGCCCAGTCGGGAGTAACTAAATGATGAAACTATAGCACAATTTCAATGTGCTTTTAAAATAAAAGTATGTGTAGAGGGCATCTCTGTACGGGTGTGGGTGCACATATCTGTAACCAGTGCACATATGTGTGTTTGTACATGAGCTGTGGAGGTGTCTTCTTCCATTGCCCTTCACCTTCTAGACTGAAGCAGTGTCTCTCACAGAACCTGGTGCTTTCCCTTTCAACTAGACAAGACTGCCATGCCAGCATGCCTGGGATCCGAACCCCAGCCTTCACACTTACAAAGCAAGCACTTGACCCCCTGAGCCAGCTCTCCAGCCCCTCGATGTCTTTTTTTTTTTTTAATGGAAGCAAAAAGAGTTGAATTATTTCCCTAGGGCCATGGGCAACAACAGAGAAGCTGAGCTGTGGGTGTTCAGCTCTTACATCCCTCTCGGCCAAAGCTGAGCCATGATTCTGTACTAGTCTAGGGCTAGGATTGAGATCCTGAAGACTGAAGAATAACGATAGATTCTTTAGTTCTAATGATAGGCGTCTTTATGAAAATAAAAGACAGCCCAAAGCTACTTATTTCTCGAGGGTAAGGAGAAAATCGGTATCAGAATACCTGGTTCCCTGGGACTCAGATAGAAAGTTAGGGAAAATTCTTACAGAGTTTTTGATTGGTTTTACAAATCCAAGTTCAAGCTCTTGAAGAAAGCATTGATTACTATAATATAGACTACTTAGGATGAAAGAGAGTGCAAGGAGAATGGAAAACAAAAGAATTGGGGGAGCTGATACTCGGATGGCTGAGGCTCTCTGAAGTCTAACATTTACATGCTCATCTCTCATCACTAATCTCCATCAAACATGAGGCCCTGAGGTTTAGCACCACTACAAAAGTCTTGAGTGCCAAAGAAAACCAATGTGATCTGTCCATGTTGCCAGCCTGCAATAGCCCTGTCATACTTACTGATAAATTTAGGTTGAGGTAGACCTGCTCGGTCCCAGGGCCTGACCACCCCAAATCACTGAGTGCTTCAGCCACGGCCTCCTCTCTCAGGATCCCATCAAAGTCCTCCTGCAGAAAGCAAATGGTGGACAAAGAACTTGCATTAGAAAGGCAACCGTCTACTTTGTCCTATCCAGCTCCCAGAGAAAAGGCTGCACGGAAGACATCACATACTATACACAGTTAAGCAAATGTCCATCAAAGCCACGTCTTGCTGCTACTGGCTTTTCAGGGGGTCACTTGCATGTGGTATTTGATGCTGAGAGAACACAGTGGCTATAGGAACATCAGTTCTAGTGGCCCCATGTAAGAGCTCTGTTCTTAAACTGCCAAATCTTCTGACAGCCCTGGAGTAGCCATTCTCATCCCCATTTTACACATGAAGTAACCAAGGTTTAGAGGTGACCCTGCTCAAAATGGCATGACAGTATGTGACAGAGCTGGAATAAAAACTCAATCTGCCCCAAGGTGATTCTGCATTGGGCTGCTTGCCCACACCTCGAAGGATGGTTATATCAAATGTAGCAATACTGTCTCGAAATCTGGTATTCTTGCTGAACAAATCAAGTCCTCAGTTCACTTTCTAGTATCTGTTTTTGTCAGATTCATCTAATCTACAATATGATTTCATGGGTGGCAGTCACTTCCATGAGGAGGTTTGTCCTTGGTCCAAAGTCAATGGATGGGCATGGCTCTTCCCCAGTAATGGCAGACAGAAGAGACAACATAACAGTCTATGTTGCATGGCCACTGCCTTGAACTCTATTACAGCCAGCATGACATTGACATCAGCATGACGGCAGAAAACACAGTCATCATTACAGCCACACTGATATATATGGTACTTAACCATGATGAACATATTAACTGTGATGGGAAAGCATCCACCCTTTAGTTCTTTACTAACCCAGGAGCCAAGAATGCTGTCTAGGTTGTTGGTCATGAGAACATAAGTATGGAGACTCCTGCTTCTCTAAGAGTTTTTTTTCCCCCAGGGAATATTGCCCCCATGGAGACAGTGAGTTTGAATCCCACCTCTGCCACGTGAGTTAGGGGAGGTAAAGCTTTCTCTGAGCTTTGTTCCTCCACTTTTAAACAGAAAGTATGTTTCTCTTTAAAGGTGATCTAGACACACCATTCCTCCAAAGTAGACTGCTTTTGGGATATTGATTGTTTTGAGCTGGAGGCACTTGAAAAAAAAAAAAAAAGCAAATGCAAGGGGAGGCTTTCTCTGAACTGCTTTTATCTACAGAGAGGCCGATCCTTCAAAAGGAACTCGGCTGTTATAAATCCCCTCCCCAGGAGTTTCATCAACTGGAGGAGAGTGACCCTTACCACAGGAGCAAAGAGAGGCTGACACCACAGTGAGGCAAGCTTTGTCACAACCTCTCATAGTTCCTGTCTATTCTAAGAGCCCTCGTATCTTTCCATAAAAGCGTTTGCCCCCCACCCTCCTAGGTGGCCTACATTCCCATTACCCCTCCCCTGTTAACATGATGTGTAAGCCCTCAAATCTCACGTAAAAAAGTTTCCAGGTCAGCAGCATGACTCAGTAGGTGGCGGCACTGGCCTCTAGCCCCGAGGACTTGGGTTTAGTCACCAGAACCCACATGACAGAAGAGAGTAAATCCCCACAAGTTGCCCCCTGACCTCCACACGTGTGCACATGCATGAAGAAAATAATGGTAATAGATTTTTTAAGCATTTATTTATCTTATGTGTGTGAGTGTTTTACCTATACACATGTATGCGTGTCATATGCATCCAGTCCCCAAGGAGGACAGAAGAGGGTGTTGGAAGCCCTGGACCACAGGTTATGGGTGGTTGTGAGCCACCAATTGGGTGCTAGGAACCAAACCAGGGTCCCCTACAAGAACAACAGTGCTCTATCTGCTGAATCATTTCTCCGGGACCTGTAATTGTCTGTCTGTCTGTCTGTCTGTCTGTCTATTGATCTATTTGTTTATTCATTTTTATCTGTGTGGGTGTTTTGCCTGCATGTTTGTCTGTGTACCACCTAAATACCTGGTGTCCGTAGAAGTCAGAAAAGGGCTTTGGATGCCCTGAAAGTAGAGTTACAGATAGGGTTATGAGCCACAATGTAGGGGCTGGAAATCAAAGCCGGGTCCTCCAGAAGAACAGCCAGTACACTTAGCCTCTGAGCCATCTCTGCAGCCCCCACTGGAATTCTAACTAACTATTCAGTGCTAGTGAAGCTGTGGTTATTGGAGGAAAATCTACAACGACCAATTTACTAACCCAAGGTATCCCCTAATAACAATCTATAAGCATCTGCCTTTATACCTACAGATAGCTATAGTCTTCACCCCTCACCAAGGAGACTTCTGTTTACAAAGATGGAGACCACTACAAAAAAAAAATAGTAAGGGCTTTTTTTAGTCTTGTTGGGGGGGTTGTTTTTTCCAAAAAATGGGTTTCTCTGTGTAGCTCTAGCTGTCCTGGAACTTGCTCTGTAGGCCAGGCTAGCCTCAAACTCAGAGATTCACCTGCCTCTGCCTCCCAAGTGCTGAGATTAAAGGCATGCACCACTACCACCTAGACTGTAATCGTTTTTTAAAAAATATTTTTCCTATGATATCCCTAATGCATGTAATATTAAAAATCAATATACCCATATCCCCCTCATCTATGTTAACCTGCCCACTATCACTTTGTATCATAGGTCCAGCTATGACAGCTAGATTAGGGAGGTCGTTTCTCACTTGCCCCTTCTTTTCATGTTTTAAGAATGAAAAAAATAATATACAGAAGATTCTTGGCACAGTGCCTGAAACACATCAATTGTTTCAATAAATGTACTATGTGCCAATGTCCCATAGCTGTCACCCCTGCTCACAAGCAGGGAAGATACCTATGCCTATACATGAAGTGCCGATGTCCTATGTAAGCCCCAGGAGGTAGTGGGGCGGAGGTGATGCTGCCTTCCTCCCAAATCCCCACCTAGAGCTCTGAGGGTCATCTGACCTCACTCCATTCCTTACTTATGCTAGCAGGAAGGGCCTGACTGTCACCATAGCCATGGACATCAGACTCTGCACAACTGCCAGAATTTTCTCAGATCCCTGAAGCAAGGCTCCACACAGTAAGCCCCTCTTTAACCTACTTGGTAGTCTCAAGCAGTCCCTTAGTCCGGACTCTGGCTGTTCCCCTAGAGATATCGCTAGAACCCTACTAGCCTCTTATCTAAATGTACCTGATCAGCAGAGAAATGCTTAAAATATCAAGTGTGTGTTGTCCCTGCATGGAGCAGAGCCCTCTACAACCTAGCCCCATCTCAGCCGCTTTTTTCTGCCCTTACCTGAGTGCAGCTTTACCTATCTCCCTATGTGACGCTTTAGGTGCTAATTGCTTGACTTACTCTTAAGTCGTTCTGAGAGCAGGGACCATGTATGTCTTCACGTTTTCACCTTCTATTTTAACTGCTGTTATTATTTATTACATCTATAACTCCTGAGAATCTATCTACCAGACACTATTATATTGAAAACTTTGAAGTAGTTTCTTACTAAATTGGAAGTCATGGGTTTCTGTAGTGTAGTGGTTATCACGTTTATCTGACATTCAAAGGGTCCCTGGTTTGAAACTAAGTGGAAACTAAACCTGAAGTCTATAACTATCACAATGAGTAGGCATGATTGCTCACCTTGAGTTACTGGCAAAGGGTGGTTTTTCCTGCTCCAAATTTTGGGTCAAGACATGGTCAAAGTGTGCTTTCTAGTAAGCAATCACTCCATATATGTTTGTTCAATAAGGCTAAAATCACTTAATGGGTTACAGGTAGCAGTTAAAAATGTGAGTTACTAGTATAGTATCAGGACTATATTTAAAATTTTATTAAATTTTTACTTGTATGTGTGTTTGTGCACACGCACACACTCCATGGCACAGGTCTGGAAGTCATAGGACAAATTTGGGGAGTCAAGTCTCTTCTTCCATCAGGTGGGTCAGGAGCTTGAACTCAGGTCATGAGGCTTGGCAGCAAGTGTCTTCACCTGCAAAGTCCTCCCACCTGCTCTATGCTAAGCATTTTACATAAAGGATATCATTTACTTACCCTATGAGACAAGGAGGACTACCAAACTGGTATTTTGAGTTCTAGACAAGCTAAGGAACTTATTCAAAATCTTGCTACTAACAAGAGGCTAACCCAGGTCTCAACCACAGGTCTTTCATCCCAAAGGGAGTGCTCCAGACAGCTGGTCTCAACCACTTCTCTTAAATTCACAGGGCTTCTGGAGTTTGAAGCTAGCCAAATTATTACCAGTAATCAGGGGAAGATTCGGGAGAGAAACCACCCAACATGAACATACACTTCTAAATAACGTTTCAGTTCGTTCCACATTTTAAAACTTAAGCAAATACCATGCAAAGCCAAAGCCAGTATCCATATTTAGAATGTAACTGGAATGAGTAATAAACTTTTCCTCAACATATTCCCTAAACCAGCAAGGACTAACCAGTTGATGGGCACCTTCGTTCGATGGCTTGTTAATGACGTGCTGAAGACACATTAACGATTGCACTAATGAACCCATAGCCAAGGAGCCTGTGCTAATTAGAATCATAAAGTACGCTGGTGGTTCATTTGTGAATTCCTCTGGGGTAGAAGGTGGTGGAAACCATACAAACATTTCAAAGGAGCAAAAACACCGCTGCCATTTGGGGTAGTCATAAACCAAAGGCAGTAAAATTAACCAACAAAGGAAGAATAAAATAAATAATGGCTTTTTGTTTGTTTAAGGTTGTTTTATTATTATTATTATCATTCTTTTATGATAAAAGGTGTGCGCCACCACCGCCCGGCTATTACTATTATTTTTAAGGCAGGGTCTCACTGTGTGGTTCTGTCATCAAGGTTCATAGCTAATGGCTATGTAAACCAGGATGACCGCTAACTCATGACAGCCTTCTTATCTCTGCCTGCCAGTGCAGGGAGTGTAGGCAGGCACACCATTTCTGGTACACATCTACCATCAACTTCAAGCAAAATTAGAATGTAACTAGACCACAAAGAGAGAAGCATAAAAAGAAAGACAAATTGAGGGCTACGGAGGTGGGGGGGGGGGAGATCGGCCAAATAGTTAAAGTGGACAAAAGGGCCCAAGGAAGAGCAGAATTAGAGTAACAGAAGGTTAGATGGGGAACCAGAAAAGGAGCTTGTGCAAGGGGACAGGCATGAGGAGAAAGCTATTTGACAGCAGGGATAAAGTTGACTAGGAAATGACCCATAGATGTGAAGACGTTGGAGCAGTTTATATGCTGGAGGAAAAGAAAATAAGGGGATCCAATGTAAAGGTAAAAATTGAAATCAAGAAAAAAATATCGATTCTGATAGCTAAAACCAAGAGAAAAGCCTAACTCTGTATGGGAGGGGAACAAATCAATTTATGATTTTGAAAAAGAACAATTGTTTGAAAGCAATAAAAGGAAGGAACGGAATGCAGAGAGGAAAGGGAGAAGAGGGCAAGAAAGCACAGCAAAGTGTGTGGGAATTCAGTCAAGCATTAGAGAGAAGGTGGCTTAGGTGAGCAGAGAGCTGACCGTTGAAAAATAGTTGAGGTGGGAATGTTGGGAACACTCCCATCACCCAAATAAGCTCATGAGTGAGTGTGAGCTGCTGTGGCTCCCTTCTTGACCAGGAAGTGTGGTGAGTATACGCTTTAAGGGGCATATACCTCTCGCAGAACTAATATATAAAACTTTTAAGTTATTTGGTCTTTGACGGAGAATTTAGATTATTAAAAAAGAAAACAGCTTTTTTCACCCTGGAGGAAGGAGGAAGATGAGCCCACAACTGGGAAGAGTGCAGAGTCCTTCCGTTTGGAGGGACATGCTGGGGATATCAAAAACCAGCTCTTGCCTCTTGAGTGTCTAAGGTAATAACTTTGTCAAGGGGGTAATTCTGAAAGCATTAAACCCTCCAGACAAGTACACAGTTATTTTGTTTTCATAATAGCAGCGTGTAATCTGATACAAAAGAAACCATGGAAAGAAAGTGGACATTGGGAGGGTTTCGGCTCCCTGCGCCCTGGCCCCCAGACAAGAGGTAAAGGACACCACAAACAGGAGAGCAGGAAAGATGAGCAGGACAGGCAGTCTGGGGAGGAGAAGCGCAGAAGCCAGCCGCCACCGAGCCCCCCGGGTGAGAGTGGGGGAAGGCACACCTCCAGATTCATTATTTCGGACTCTACGGACTCCTCCGACTCCTCTTCGCCGTGACGGTCCTCCGCTTCCTGAGAGCGCTGCATCAGCTGCTCGAGGAGGAAGGAGGAGGCGCTTCTGTAAGTCCCCTTCGATTTCTGTCCCATGGGAAAAGGAGGCCATGGTGTCCGACGATGTTTTGCTGCGAGCGCTCGGATCGTCTGGATGACAGCGCAAGAGAGGCCTCCCTGGAGAGAGGACGCTTTCCCTCTGGAGGAACCTTTCTCGGAGGCCGCCATCTTGTTTACACGCGTTGCCTAGGAGACTGGCGTCCGGTCCAGAGGCGCCGCTAAGACTTCTGGGAGTTGTAGTCCTATCTTCGAGGCTTGCTCAGTCTTTCGGGGTCTCGGTGGGCAGTCACTTTTGCACTACTTTCCCCTGCGGCTTCTTTTACTTTCCTCTCGTCAGTAGGGTTCAGTCGCTAGTTTTGTTCCTTTTTTGTTGTGTTTTTCTTTTCTTCTTTTTTAAAATTTATTTATTTAGTATGTATACAGTATTCTGCCTGCATGTATTCCTCATGCCAGAAGAGGGCACCAGATCTCATTACAGATGGTTGTGAGCCACCATGTAGTTGCTGGGAATTGAACTCAGAACCTTCGGAAGAGCAGCCTGTGAGACATCTCTCCAGTCCTTGCTTGTGATTTTCATCCCCCTCTCTACCCCTTTTCTTTGTCTCCAACTATCTGTCTTAGAACTTGTTCACCTCACATTTGGTAACATTCACACAAGCATCTCCAGTCTTGCTTCATCCCCACCATCGAACTTTGGAAGTGTCTTAGTTAGGATTTCTATTGCCCAGACAAAACACCGTGACCAAAAGGCAAGTTGGGAAAGAAAGGTTTTATTTGGCTTATGGTTCCATGTTGCTGTTCATCACTGAAGAGAGTCAGGACAGGAACGCAAACCACAGCATTCTAGAGGCAGGAGCTGATGCAGAGGCCTGGAGAGGTGCTGCTAACTGGCTGGCTCCCCATGGCTTGCTCAGCCCGCTTTCCTATATAGAACCCAAGACTGCCACCCCAGGGTGGCACCACCCACCAGGGGCTGGGTCCTCCCCTATTCATCACTAATTGAGAAAATGCCGTACTGCTGGATCTCATGGAGGCATTTCCTCTAAGGAGGCGCCTTCCTCTCTGATGCTTCTGTGTCAACTTGACATAAAACTAGCCAGAACAGTAAGGGTTTGACATCCCTAATTCTGTCAGTGGGAAAGCTGGTAAAGTTGAAATTTAGAGCTACCGCAGAGCGCGGTGGGAGGAGGTGAGGGGGTGATGTAGCCGACTTAGAAGACCTGACTCCTCTCCTTTTCCTTTCATTGTGGATAATGAAGAGAAACTACCAAAGGACTTCTGAAAGCTCATTTGCAGTTAATTTACATTCCTGGCTAACTCTAAGCCTGGTCTTTTGGGGGAGGGGAACTAACCACGGGAGGGTGGGAGGAGTGGAGAGAAGGAAAGAGAGTGAATCCAACTGACAGTGTATCTGAACGCCTCTGAAGAGCTGTTAGCATCCCATAAATAATTATATTAGTCAGGTGACTTGCATTGGTAATTATTTTTATCCTATTGAATAGAATAGCTCTCTTTACATTTTATAAATGTTCTTCTTGCAGGATGACAGAGCATGGTTTTATGCGAGTGTGATTTTTTATGAAACCCAAATCCTATAGCTGTAAGCTCCGAAAAAAAAAAACAAAAACAAAAAACAAACAAACAAAAAATACGTGGTAACTATTATTGCTATATAATGATGACAATAGAGATCCTCACAGGGAAGTTGTCCTCATGCTCTGGCCTTGCAGGGCCTTTTCTCCACGCTTCAGTGACAGCAGTTACAAATACAAAATGATCCTGCCGATGGTAGTCAGGGGAGAAGGAGAGAAAAATCCTTATGGACACTATCCATTGACTATTAGCTGTTTTAGTGCTTGAGGGACCATTAAAACTGACATAAAGCTTTCAGAATTACCTTCCTTCATTATCTTGCTGCTCATAACTGTAAAGGACACAAAGTGTCTCTCTGCTAGGCTGGCCTTGCTTCTTACTCCTTTTTCTAGTAGGTACAGATTCTGACAAGGGATTTCTCTCCAACCTCTTTGCCTTAGGGTCTGGCTCCACCTAACTAGGAAGACTGGACTATTTTCTCTCCTCTTGCAGAAATGATAATAACACAAACAAACCCTATGTGTGTTTCCAATAACTTAACCTACATTTGTAATGGAGAGAACTTTGCCAATGGCAATCTACTGAGAAAAGTGTCTTAATTTAGATCTGGGGTCTGTCAAAGAATAATTCCAAAACATGAAAACATGTTTGTCATGCAAACAAAGAGTGAAACACGGGGAAAGATACTGTTCAAGATACTGGCAACTGTACTCGGAATTCAAAGAGAAGGAATTTGGAAGTAAGTTTGTTAAGTCTATTGTTAGAAATGTTTGAGGTTCCAAAGACAGAGACCATCATTCCAATTGAAGTGTTTCAACAAGGTAAAACTTTACTCTGGTTCAGGGGGGTGAACTAGAAAGGATGACCGCACAGACACAGAGACAGGAAGTAGAGATGTGTTTATTCTAACTCAGGTGGTAACTGTGTCTTTTCCCCATTGGCTGAGATCTGACTTCTGTCTCCCCAGGTTGGACAGTTTTTAAAAAATCAGAGCAAGATAAATGAAGGTGGAAGGGGGCTAATGACTTTAACCTGAGAATGTGGAGAGGGTCTTTGTGCAAACAAAGGTTTTATTAGGTGGGGGTATTAAAACACTTGCATAAAGTCTTACTGGGTGGGGAAGATAAAAGATCTGAATTCCTTACCCTAAACAAAGTTTTATAGTTGCATAGCACTTGGTAGAAAAGACTCATATTTAATATTTCTTACTGAGACAAAACTGGTTAATGCCCTACGACACAATAAAACCCAGCCTTTGGCAGGTAATATTGCTATGCATTTGGTCTCTTCATTTCTTCATTTTCACACCTACCTTTATCTGCAGTTGACAGGGAGGGTCATTGAGGCTCAAGGGAGTTCAACAACTGAAATAATAGTGACTCTCCTGTGTGTGTGTGTGTGTGTGTGTGTGTGTGTGTGTGTGTGTGTGTGCCTCTGTGTGTGTGTGTGTATGCGCATGCAAACAAGCAAACAAACAAAAACCTAATGTAGAGGGACCATCTCCACAGTCTACCTTCAGCTACAACTTTTTGCAGATGTAAAAAAGCAATCAAAAAAGAAAAGGAAGGAAGGAGAGAGGGAGGGAGGAGGGACGGAGGAAGAAAGGAAGGAAAAGAAAAGAAAACTTCCCTGAAAGACTCATAAAAACTTTACAGCCAGGCGGTGGTGGCTTTAATTCCATCACTCAGGGGCAGATCTCTGTGAGTTCCAGGCCAGCCTGGTATACAGAGCAAGTTCTAGGACAGCCAGAGCTGTTACACAGAGAAACCCTGTCTAGAAAAACAACAACAACAACAAAACAAACAAACAAACAAAAACCTTACGGTCAAGGTTCTTCAGTATGACTAAAGAATCCTCTTTCATGTGGACTCAGGACACGTTAGACTCAGAAGGAACCAAAAGTCCATCTGAAAAGCAACTCCTTCTACAGAGCAATTGATGGTCTTCCAGGAGCAGTGACTTTCTTCAGACTGCCTGAGCTTGGACTGCTTGGTGCTCACCAATGTGCCTGCCAAACTGGAATTATGTTACTGTATGTCTTATTTTGGAATTCTGCACATCAAAATAGAAGGTTTTGTCTTTGTAAATTGTCTTGATACAAACCTAGGCACTTCTGGAAAGAGAGGATCTTAATTGAGAAAATGCCTCTGTAAGATTGGCCCACAGGCAAGTCTTTGTGATCTTGTCTTGATTAATGATTGATGAGAGAGGGCCCATCCCATAAGGGAGGGTGCCACTCCAGGGCAAGTGGTCCTGAATTGCTTATGCAGGCTGAGCAAGCTAGTAAGCCATTTTCCTCCATAGCCTCTGCTTCACTTACTGTCTCCTGGTTCCTTGCCTCGAGTACCTGCCCTGACTTCCCTCGGTGATGGAATGTGACCTGAGAGCTATAAGCTGAGATAAACCCTTTTCTCCCCAACTTGCTTTTAGTTATGGTGTTTCACCACAGCAATAGCAGCCCTAAGACATCAGGTAAAGAGAATAACACTGAGCAGAGGGTAGGATCTGAGGGAACAGTGTGTTTTGTTGAAACTCTTTCAGTTAGTATAAAACACCAGTATTTTGCATCCATGTATCCACAGCTTCCTATAAACCAGAACTATAAGAGATGGGGGGCGGGAGGGGGGGCTGCTTGAGTGCATTTGTGTGTGTAAAGATGCCAAGGCCAGAGATAGGGTTAGGGTTAGGGTTGGGCTAGACCAAGGCAGTAGGGCTTTCTCTGTTAGCTCTGGGTCCTTATTCACTGGGAGAAATGAGAACACAGAAGGGTGGCACCATAAAACATGTAACTCTCTCAAGGCGGCACCCAGGGCAGGAAGCTGTTGGCAAAAAATCCAGTTACCCCTGTGTTGGGAAGAGTTTGCTAACCCTGGCTTTGGCTGCTTGCTGTCTTTCTCTCAGTGCTATTAACTCTTCCCCTCATTTTTCTGAGTATAGCTGGTATCTTCCCCTTTCTGGAGCCAGCACTCTAACCTAAGACCTTGCCTCTTTGAAAAAACAGAGAAGGCAAGGTGGATCTTCTGCTGCCTGAATTTAGAAAGACAGCCAGAAGGTGGGTCTTGAGTAAAGCGAAGGGTGTGTCTCTCCTTCCTCTCCACATGCTCTCTTTCCCCCGTTTTGTATTAGGAAATGGTGCTTCTGAAGAAGTATGTTGAGACTGGAACACTTTGAACTCGAGGTAATTGTGCGTGTGTATGGGGTAGGTACTGTTTCTGGTTTTAAAGGTGTTGTGGGAATTCATTCCATCGATAGTTTGGGGGGACCAGTCTTAGGGCGTGGTTTCTGTGTGCAGACATGATCTCTTATAAGAAGGGGTTTCTCTCCGCTCTCTTGTGTGGTGGTTGGAGATCTGATTGCAGCGTCCATGGACCCTAAGGCAGAACAGAAGACAGCAGCAACTCTACCTTATTTGTGAGTGTTCTCTCAATAAATATTTGATATTTGATATCCTTTTATTCTGGTTCTCATGGACTCACTTACCCTTGCCTACATAAAGGTTTTGAAAGACCCCCCGAAGAGGTACTTTCGTAGAGGGAGACCCACACCCAGGAATCAGCGAGGCCACGAACTGGATG